CGGCCGTGGCCCTGCCCAAGTTGCCCATCTCCCTGACCAACACCGATCTGAAGGTGGCGAATGACACCAAATTCTTCCCTGGATTGGGTAAGGAGTGTCCGTTGTCTTTCTACTAAATGTGTAGCTTGTCCCTGAAACTTTCCATTCTTAATCTTGTGAGCTGTGTAGCTGGAGGAGGAATTCAGAATAAACGGTATGGTTACAGGGGAGCAGTCTCTGGCTCAGCTTCGTGTGTCTTCTCTCCCCAGGTCTGGCTTTGGCTTTTCATGACGGCAGCGTCCACATCGTCCATCGCCTGTCCCTGCAGATGATGGCTGTCTTCTACGGCTCCTCCTCCCAGCGCCCCGTGGACGAGCAGACCATCAAAAGGCAGCGAACTGCTGGTCCCCTGGTTCACTTCAAAGCCATGCAGCTCTCCTGGACATCTCTGGCCTTGGCTGGCATTGACAGTCACGGGAAGGTAGTGTGCTCTGGTCTTCTCGCCCAGGCTCTCTCTTTGTCTCTCTAAGAGGTGATGGATCACCCAGGAGAACGCTGGGGATGTTACTTCCAGCTGGGTGATCCGTGTTAAACAAGAAGGGGTGTATCCTGTTGATGCAGGAGTTGTATCTGTGGGTCAGGGTCGAGGAGCAGTTGGCCCTGTGTCGTGTTAAAGCTCTGCAGAATGTTTTCCGTCCAGTTCTTGACGCAGATTTTCCGTTGCCTCCTCCCTTCAGCTGAGCATGCTCCGCATCTCCCCCTCCATGGGCCACGTGCTGGACATGAACATGTCCCTCCGTCACCTGCTGTTCCTGCTGGAGTACTGCATGGTGACCGGCTACGACTGGTGGGACATCCTGCTCCACGTCCAGCCCAACATGGTGCAGAACCTGGTGGAGAAGCTGCACGAGGAGTACATGCGCCAGAACGCAGCCCTGCAGCAGGTCTGGGGGGGCTCCCTGCAGAGGGGGGGCACAGGGGGAGGCTCGGTGACCAGGAGGAGGGAGCAGTCCTTGCCAGCGCTCGGGAGGCAGATGGCTCTGCCTGGCTGCACTGTCTCTACGCTACTCGAGCAGCACTCGAGGCTTGAAGAGCCTCCAGTTAAGCCGTGTTCATTGTCACTACCATTAATGGGTCTCTACCTGTTGGAAGCTTCTTGTGAGATGGAGAAGTCTATTTTTGGCGGAGATTCTGGGAACAGGAGCACTGTTTGTACATGCACGGAACAGCATCCACTATTGCTGTCATTCATGTGGCAGGAACGGAGGGTAGAGAATAAAGCAGCTTGCTTTAATGAGCTTATTCTAATTCTGCCTTTACTTCTGTATTTTTCCTGGTGTCTCTCCGTCAATCAGGTCCTCTCCACACGCATCGTTGCCATGAAGGCGTCTCTCTGCAAGCTCTCCTCCAGCACCATCGCCCGTGTCTGTGACTACCATGCCAAGCTCTTCCTCATCGCCATCAGCTGCACCCTCAAATCCCTGCTGCGCCCCCACTTCCTGAACACCCCGGACAAGAGCCCCGGGGACCGACTCACCGAGATCTGCTCCAAGATCACGGACATAGGTAGGGATTGCTCACACATTGGGCACTGCCTTCGGGGTGGTTTGGGTCAAATCCTTCCCCTTTTAGGTTCGATATAAAGTGTCAGGGTCTCATAGTAACTCCTGGGGTTTGAGGAAGAGGAGGATGACCTCTCCTGCCAGCACAGGGATGGGGGGTGAAGTTTGGATCCATCTTCTTCCTGAGCCAGGAGATGTCTCGCTTCTGTTTCAGACATCGACAAGGTGATGATTAACCTGAAGACAGAGGAGTTTGTCCTGGAGATGACCACGCTGCAGTCCCTGCAGCAGCTCATCCAGTGGGTGGGGGACTTTGTGCTGTACCTGCTGGCCAGTCTGCCCAACCAGGTGAGGGCCCGGGGCTGGGAACAGGCCAGAGGGGCAAAAACCACCTGTGTGCAGTGTTTGGGTGGCTTTGGCCACGTCACAGATGCCCCCTGTGTCCTGTTGAAACTGACACTGGGGTGAAGAGTGTAATAAACAGCAGAAACACAAAATGGGCTGTTCTGTGCCCATCCAGGAGTCGGTGATGGACCGGCTGCAGCGTTCAGACAAGCAGCTCAGTAGCTGCGTGACTTGTCTGAGCTTTTCCCAAGCCCCCATGTCCCTCAGGCCTCCCCGGCAGCCTCTGGCAGAGCACGCTGCAGGCTCGTGGTGATGGAAAAGAGGAATTGTCCGAAAACAGAGCAGTGGCTCCGGGTGCTGCGTGGAAATCCCAATCTCGGCTGTTTTTCCCCCGGCAGGGCTCCCCGGTGCGGCCGGGACACAGCTTCCTGCGGGACGGAGCCTCCCTGGGCATGTTCAGGGAGCTGATGGTGGTGATCCGCATCTGGGGGCTGCTGAAGCCCAGCTGCCTCCCCGTCTACACAGCGACCTCCGACACCCAGGACAGCATGTCCCTCCTCTTCAGGCTCCTGACGAAGCTCTGGCTGTGCTGTAAGTGTTTGCTGGTCTCCCCAGACAAAAGAATCCTTCCTTGATGTGGATTGTGCGTGAAAGGAATAATTGCAGGGAGTGAGCTCTGATCAGGCCTGGAGTGTTTAGAAAGGGCAAGTTACAGCTGCCAAGTTTATTGTTTTCGGTGCAGTGTTGGCGGGTGGAGGAGGAAACCGTGCAGTTCCCCCCGATCTCTAAATGAGAACTGTGAAAGATCCTGCTGGTTCTCTCTCTTTGCTTTATTTTCCACGCAGGTCGTGAGGAAAATCACATCACAGAGCCAGATGATACCCTGATAGATGAGTGCTGCCTCCTCCCCAGCCAGCTGCTCATTCCCAACATTGACTGGTTGCCCATCAACGACGGCATCATCAGCAAACTGCAGAACAAGCAGCTGGTCCGGCTGCAGTTTGGGAAAGCTCCTGGGCTCGTTGGTCACACCGTCTCTTCCCAGTTCGATGCCTTTGTCAGGTACAGAGGCCTAAAGGAGCCGGCGCTGCGGTGGGAAGGGGTGGCTTTGGGATCTCTGCAGCTCAGAGAGCTCAGTGTGTTTGGGACAAAAGCCTGCGGTTTTTGGCTCATCCACTTGCAGGCGTGACCCAAGAGCTGTTTGTTCTCTCTGCTCTGCTGAATTCATTTCTTAACTTGGAATGTGGTGGGGATTTAAAGTGTTGAAAAGAGGAGGCAAATGGAGGGGGGGAAATTGCTGGTTTGTGACTGGGTTTGTGTCAGCGTGGCCGAGTCCCCTGGCGCTCAGGGACTGGGTAGTCAAAGCCCGTGTCTTCTTGGCCACTGAAACGTTGCTCACCGCCCTGGAAACAGCTTTTAGAAAGCGATATTCTAGAATGTTCCCCTTCTTCTTCCTCCCCAGGGCGCCTGGACAACCCAAAATCGATCATCTGAGACGGCTTCATCTGGGCGCGTACCCGACGGAGGAGTGCAAGTCCTGCACCAGGTGAGCGTCCCGGGAGGAGGCCCTGGCAGGAACCCAGGCTCTGCCTTTTGTCATTCAAAAGCTCTTTCAGTCTCTGTTTCCCTCCCTCCCTGGTATCCCAGTAACGTTTCACGCTCATTGCGGCTGCAGGAGGAAGGGCTCCTTCTGGAACAAGGCTTTTGGTGTGTTTGGTGCTGCCCCTGGCACGGGGGGGGAGCCGTTGTGGTTGTTTTTAAGGCAAATCCCTTGGAAAACCGAGATCCTTAAAGCGCGTTGCTGCAGGGTCCCTGCACTGTGGCTGTTCAACATCTCACTGCTTTGCCCAGCACAAAGTACCCCCCTCCCTGTGAGAATGAGCCATGTTTGTCGTTGCCAGTGGTTTCATCTAAGGGCCAGATTGTGCATCCTGGGATAAATAGGAGGTTGCTTTAGCAGGAAAATCCCAGAGCCATCGGGCTGTGCAGGTGAACGGAGGCAGATTTGGCCTGTAGGAGTGATGAGAGATCCTCAGCAAGTCTGGTCTTTAAATAAAACTACCTGTGCTCTTGGAGAGGAGCTGGTGAGGGAGAAGAATCACAGGATCCACGGTGCCATTTTGGAGTCGTCTTTCAAACCAGGCTTGTGTTCTAAGTCCCTTTGTGCTGTCCTCTTCACCCACCCTCACAAAAGAGCCTGGATTTCAAAACAATGGTGCAGGGAGCAAACATCCATCTCATCATGTGATTGAATTAGCTTTAATTATTGGTTTTAATAGAAAGTCTCTGTAGCAGATCGTTTTTCCAAGCTGAATGTCTGCTGTTTTCTGTATAAATAGCAGCTGGGGGCTGTTGTCTTGAAGACAACCTGATAACCTCCCTTCGGATAATTGATCGGGTGGTTTCAGCTGGGTTTTAGGGCTGACAAAGATCCCCTGCAGATGACAAAAGCTGGTTTCCTCCCCAGATTCCTTGCTCTCTGGGTGCTCCATGGCCCCGGCTGCAGCTCCCTCTCGTTCCAGGTGCGGGTGCGTCACGATGCTGAAGTCTCCCAACAAGGTGACGGCGGTGAAGCAGTGGGAGCAGCGCTGGATCAAGAACTGTCTCTGCGGGGGGCTGTGGAGGAGGATGCCCCTCAGCTACTCCTGAGGGGGGACGGAAGAGCTGCTCGGAGCTCCCTTCCCCGCAGGCGTCAGGGACAAAGGGATGGCAGCTCCTCTCAGCCCTCCAGACCGTGACTGTGAGACGGGCTGCGGTGCTGCTGCTCTTCTTGTGTTGATCCTCCTCACAGGGCAGAGCGGGGAGGGGGTGGCAGAGGGTTCCCCATCAGGGCCACCTGGGGAGGCCAGAGCCCCCGTGTCTGGGCCCGGCCTGAGCCCCTTCCCAGGCAGAGGGGGGTGATGGGGGTGGCTGGGGGTGAACAGACATCTCTGGTGAAGGGGGAATGAATTCCTGGTGCCTCATGTTTGCCCTTTGCTGCGCTGCTGGGGAAGCTCCACGTGGGATACCCCCTGTGTGCAGTGTTTGGGTGGCTTTGGCCACGGCACAGATGCCCCCCGTGTCCTGTCAAAACTGACACTGGGGTGAGAGTGTAATAAACAGCAGAAACACAAAATGGGCTGTTCTGTGCCCATCCAGGAGTCGGTGATGGACCGGCTGCAGCGTTCAGACAAGCAGCTCAGTAGCTGCGTGACTTGTCTGAGCTTTTCCCAAGCCCCCATGTCCCTCAGGCCTCCCCGGCAGCCTCTGGCAGAGCACGCTGCAGGCTTGTGGTGATGGAAAAGAGGAGTTGTCCGAAAACGGAGCAGTAGCTCTGGGTGCTGCGTGGAAATCCCAATCTCGGCTGTTTTTCCCCCGGCAGGGCTCCCCGGTGCGGCCGGGACACAGCTTCCTGCGGGACGGAGCCTCCCTGGGCATGTTCAGGGAGCTGATGGTGGTGATCCGCATCTGGGGGCTGCTGAAGCCCAGCTGCCTCCCCGTCTACACAGCGACCTCCGACACCCAGGACAGCATGTCCCTCCTCTTCAGGCTCCTGACGAAGCTCTGGCTGTGCTGTAAGTGTTTGCTGGTCTCCCCAGACAAAAGAATCCTTCCTTGATGTGGATTGTGCGTGAAAGGAATAATTGCAGGGAGTGAGCTCTGATCAGGCCTGGAGTGTTTAGAAAGGGCAAGTTACAGCTGCCAAGTTTATTGTTTTCGGTGCAGTGTTGGCGGGTGGAGGAGGAAACCGTGCAGTTCCCCCCGATCTCTAAATGAGAACTGTGAAAGATCCTGCTGGTTCTCTCTCTTTGCTTTATTTTCCACGCAGGTCGTGAGGAAAATCACATCACAGAGCCAGATGATACCCTGATAGATGAGTGCTGCCTCCTCCCCAGCCAGCTGCTCATTCCCAACATCGACTGGTTGCCCATCAACGACGGCATCATCAGCAAACTGCAGAACAAGCAGCTGGTCCGGCTGCAGTTTGGGAAAGCTCCTGGGCTCGTTGGTCACACCGTCTCTTCCCAGTTCGATGCCTTTGTCAGGTACAGAGGCCTAAAGGAGCCGGCGCTGCGGTGGGAAGGGGTGGCTTTGGGATCTCTGCAGCTCAGAGAGCTCAGTGTGTTTGGGACAAAAGCCTGCGGTTTTTGGCTCATCCACTTGCAGGCGTGACCCAAGAGCTGTTTGTTCTCTCTGCTCTGCTGAATTCATTTCTTAACTTGGAATGTGGTGGGGATTTAAAGTGTTGAAAAGAGGAGGCAAATGGAGGGGGGGAAATTGCTGGTTTGTGACTGGGTTTGTGTCAGCGTGGCCGAGTCCCCTGGCGCTCAGGGACTGGGTAGTCAAAGCCCGTGTCTTCTTGGCCACTGAAACGTTGCTCACCGCCCTGGAAACAGCTTTTAGAAAGCGATATTCTAGAATGTTCCCCTTCTTCTTCCTCCCCAGGGCGCCTGGACAACCCAAAATCGATCATCTGAGACGGCTTCATCTGGGCGCGTACCCGACGGAGGAGTGCAAGTCCTGCACCAGGTGAGCGTCCCGGGAGGAGGCCCTGGCAGGAACCCAGGCTCTGCCTTTTGTCATTCAAAAGCTCTTTCAGTCTCTGTTTCCCTCCCTCCCTGGTATCCCAGTAACGTTTCACGCTCATTGCGGCTGCAGGAGGAAGGGCTCCTTCTGGAACAAGGCTTTTGGTGTGTTTGGTGCTGCCCCTGGCACGGGGGGGGAGCCGTTGTGGTTGTTTTTAAGGCAAATCCCTTGGAAAACCGAGATCCTTAAAGCGCGTTGCTGCAGGGTCCCTGCACTGTGGCTGTTCAACATCTCACTGCTTTGCCCAGCACAAAGTACCCCCCTCCCTGTGAGAATGAGCCATGTTTGTCGTTGCCAGTGGTTTCATCTAAGGGCCAGATTGTGCATCCTGGGATAAATAGGAGGTTGCTTTAGCAGGAAAATCCCAGAGCCATCGGGCTGTGCAGGTGAACGGAGGCAGATTTGGCCTGTAGGAGTGATGAGAGATCCTCAGCAAGTCTGGTCTTTAAATAAAACTACCTGTGCTCTTGGAGAGGAGCTGGTGAGGGAGAAGAATCACAGGATCCACGGTGCCATTTTGGAGTCGTCTTTCAAACCAGGCTTGTGTTCTAAGTCCCTTTGTGCTGTCCTCTTCACCCACCCTCACAAAAGAGCCTGGATTTCAAAACAATGGTGCAGGGAGCAAACATCCATCTCATCATGTGATTGAATTAGCTTTAATTATTGGTTTTAATAGAAAGTCTCTGTAGCAGATCGTTTTTCCAAGCTGAATGTCTGCTGTTTTCTGTATAAATAGCAGCTGGGGGCTGTTGTCTTGAAGACAACCTGATAACCTCCCTTCGGATAATTGATCGGGTGGTTTCAGCTGGGTTTTAGGGCTGACAAAGATCCCCTGCAGATGACAAAAGCTGGTTTCCTCCCCAGATTCCTTGCTCTCTGGGTGCTCCATGGCCCCGGCTGCAGCTCCCTCTCGTTCCAGGTGCGGGTGCGTCACGATGCTGAAGTCTCCCAACAAGGTGACGGCGGTGAAGCAGTGGGAGCAGCGCTGGATCAAGAACTGTCTCTGCGGGGGGCTGTGGAGGAGGATGCCCCTCAGCTACTCCTGAGGGGGGACGGAAGAGCTGCTCGGAGCTCCCTTCCCCGCAGGCGTCAGGGACAAAGGGATGGCAGCTCCTCTCAGCCCTCCAGACCGTGACTGTGAGACGGGCTGCGGTGCTGCTGCTCTTCTTGTGTTGATCCTCCTCACAGGGCAGAGCGGGGAGGGGGTGGCAGAGGGTTCCCCATCAGGGCCACCTGGGGAGGCCAGAGCCCCCGTGTCTGGGCCCGGCCTGAGCCCCTTCCCAGGCAGAGGGGGGTGATGGGGGTGGCTGGGGGTGAACAGACATCTCTGGTGAAGGGGGAATGAATTCCTGGTGCCTCATGTTTGCCCTTTGCTGCGCTGCTGGGGAAGCTCCACGTGGGATGGGAACCCCCCATTCCCCTGTGCCTCTCCCTCCCTTGGGAGAACCTGCCCCTCTGATGGAGACACCATCATTGGAGCCGTTGCTGAGGGACTGTTGCTCCCTGAGCAAACCCTCTGCTCGGCTCTCACTGAACCCACAGCTCTTTTGTAAATAAAATTTCCCTTAATTTTGTACAGAGGGGTTGGTTGGTTTCCCAAACTTCAGCGGTCTTTTGTGTGACTTGGGTCATGCGTCACCTGATGCAGGAACAGAGAAGGGGGGAGGCCTGTGAATTGCTTCTCTGATAGGAAGGGAGCTGCCAACATCGGCAAAATTGGAAGGGAAATTAACATTCGATGCTTCTGTCAGGTTATTGCAGACACAGGAGAAGACATCAGGTCATGGGGACAGTTGTGCATCTCCAGCTTCAGACGGTGCTGAGCAGCCACCTCACCCAGCTCCCTTATTTACCAGAAACTGCAAATTAATGGTGCTAACACTGGAATCTGCTGGATGTGGCAGCCCTGGCTGTTTGCTCTTGGGATGGAAGCCCCTGGCTCCTGCTTGCTCCTGCTCTCTAGGGCCCGTCAGTCCTTGGGGTGGGCTTTCCATTGCCAAGGGGAGCCCCGCAGCCCCCCAGCTGGTGGGATATGGCCCTGCTCAGCTCCGGCACTTACAGAGGGTGGAAGCTCCTTGGAGGGTTTGTCCTGGCGTGGGGCTGGCACAGGCCCCGGGCTGGAAGCCCAGGTGGGACAGGACCTGCCCACAGGAGCCTGGGTGGCTGGTGGCCTCTGGGATCGGGACTGGAGCAGGTGGCTCCAGGGAGCCCTTTCAGTCCCCAGAGACCATTCTGGGGAGAGAACACGCCAATTTCTGTGTATCCCCTTCCCCCTGGAACTGCGTTTTCATTTATTAGTGAAAAATTGAGCTGTGGCAAAGAGCTTGTCTCTCAGCTCCGTTTAACGTTCTGCTGTACGGAGCTGGTCTCTGCCTTGCTATTCTTCTGGTAATTAAGGAAAATCAAATGGCTAATTAGGAAACTACAACTTCTTGTTAAGGCTCTTTTCCCCTGCAAGTTAAAACAGTAATCAACCCGAGCCCTCATTAACCTCCCCTTTCTCAGAGAAGGGGTTTGGGGTTATTTAACGTTTGATGGCTGCTGCCTCGCTGGGGGGACCGGGCGGCCTCTGCGGGAGAACGGGGGCTCGTGTCCCCCCGTCACCTCCTGCCCCCCACGGACCCGGGGGCTGGAGCAGCTCCCCGAGGGGCTGGCTGAGCTCCGGCACAGCCACGGGCGCAGTGAGGGACAGAGGGTGGGTTTTTACACCCAGAACTGCTTCCTCCTCCTCCGTCCCTGACATGGGGCCCTTCCACACGGGCACCCCATCCCCCCCCCCATCACCCCATCCCACCCCGTGTCCTTTGCTCCTCGTCCCCCTGCCCCGCTCCCGGGATGGGGATGCTGGAAAGGTCTCGTGGTTCCCTCTGCTCCTTCCTGCCTTCGCCCTGGCCTCCTTCCCTCCAGGGACTGGGGACCCCCATCTGCGGGAGGGCAGGGGGTCCCTCTGCGTGCTGGCCCTGCCACCGTGGGGGACACAGGACAAGGACCCGCCAGGGCAGTGGCGGTGCCGGCCTCTCCCGGGGCTGGAGGGCGTCTCTCCTGCAGCAGCAAGAGGATGGGGGGCTCTGCCTCCCCCCTGAAAACGGCACAGGCCCCGAGCTGAGCGCAGGCGTCTCCCACCCCAGCCCCCTTTGCCCATCCAGGGATGGGGATGGAGGGTCCTGGGTGCCCCCCGCCGTGGGGCCGGTGCCACCCTTTGCCTTATTGGTGCTTTTTAAGGAATGGCCGCCCAGCGGCTCTGTGGGAGACCCTGCTCCGTGCCAAATCGTGGCCCCGCCACAGGATGTGTCCTTTATCCCCCCTGGGCTGATGGGCTGGGGGTGCTCAGGGGTGTGAGGGGTGGTGGGGTCCCTGTGCCCCACCAGGAGAGCCTGCTGTGGGGCAGAGCTGGGGCTGAGCACCCAGAGCAGTGAGTTTGGGGGGGTCTCAGCACACGGGCAAGGCACAGGAGGGAGGGGGGTCCCTCCAAATGTGGTTGTGGAGGGGAGCATGGGGGGGTCCTGGCTGCACCGTCCCCAGGGGTTCAGCCCCAGCATCTCCCCCCCTCATGTCCAGCTGCTCCTGGTGCTGCCTGTGCCCCCGCCCCGGGCAGGGGCTCCCACGCAGACCCCACCACGGTCCCCCCTGCAGGAATCATCGTGGCTTTATTGCAGCGGGTCGCGGGCAGCGTTACGGCGCGGTCAGCAAAGCCTGTGCCTTCCACCAGCGCGGGGGGCTCTGACCCCCCACCCTCCCCTGGCCTACCCCACACTTTGCCAGGGGAGGCCATGACCGGGGACCCCTGTCCCCCAGTTTGTCAGCGCTCCCCCGGCCCAGCCTTCCTCCCGGCGCGGGGGGATGCTCTGGGGGTGTCTGTGGGAGCCCCCCGTGCTCAGCGGTGGGGGTCTCCCCAGGTGGCAGCGTGGGTGCTCTGGCCGTGCTGGCAGCAGCAAGCCGTGGCGTGGAGCCGTGTCCCCGGGGAGGGCTCAGCGCGTGTCCCCCTCCCCGTCCGCGGAGGCCATGACGCTGTCGATCCAGGCGGCGTACGGGGCGATGCGGGTGTAGATGGCAGGTTTCTTGTAGTTGCCGCAGACGCGGGAGCCGGCCGTGACCACCCCCTCGGCCACCCCGTTGCAGACCAGGGGGCCACCGGAGTCTCCCTGTGGAACCAAAGCTCGTCAGATGCCCCCAAGGCAGAGCTGGGGGTCCCCACCTGACCCGGGGCTCCATGGTGGGGCAGGTACTCTCAGCCATGGGTTTCACCAGCAGGAGCTATGGGTTGGGGTCACCCCCATCCCTCGCCAGCCCTGGCTCCTCTCCTTGCTCTGCTGACAGCCCAGACCCCCAGCTCTGCCGGGACGTGGTGGGGCAGGTGGGGGGCCTTTCAGGGTGGCCTCTGTCGTCCCAGCAGACCCATCTGTGGGTCCCCTTGGGGCGCACAGGGTTGTGTCCGTGGCCTCATCCCCACCTCCAGACTCACAAGAGCTGCTTTGCAGCACCCAGCACAGGGCAAGGAGCCCCCATCACCCTGGGGGTGCAGCCCCACACCCTCACCTCCTCCAGGCTGCAGGTCTCCCCACCGCCCGCCCTGCTGCCAGCCCCCCGAGGGGGTTCCCAGCCCCAGCCTGTGGGTCCAGTCGAGGTTCTGTGTCCAGGAAAGGAGGGGGCCGAGCGGTACCTTGCAGGTGTCCCTCCTGCGGGAGTCGGTGCACATCATCTTCTCGGTGATGGTGTGGTCGTGGCGGGTGCGGTGGTTGCAGACGTCGCGGCTGATCACCGGCCGCTCCACCTGGTAGAGCTTGTCCGGGCGGCGGCCGCTGTGGGAGATGGTGCCCCAACCCGCCACGTCGCACACTGTGTCGGCCGCCACGTCCCTGTCCTCCCGCTGGAACGGCAGCACCCGCACGGCCGCGTTGAGCTCCGCTTTCTCCTCCAGCTGCCACGAAGCACAAAGGGACCCGGGTCAGAGGGGGCTGGTTATGGCCCCCGACCCAGGGGGCACGGCAAACCCAGCCCCGACACCGGCACTGCCCCGGCCCCCGACAGACTCAGGGCTTCACTGTCCCCCTGCAGCCCCCGGGATGCAGATGGACCCCAGGGAAAAGGGAGTCGTTTGGACACAGCCCAAAGGTCTTTGGTGGGGGAAGGAGGAACAGACCCCTGGAATGGGGAAAGAGGGATGGAGGGACCGAGCAGTCCCCTCGAGGGTTTCCTCCCACCGCATTCAGTGACCCTGGGGGGGGTCCCAAGGGGCAGAGGGATTTACAAGGAGGAGGAGGGTCCCGGCGTCCCCAAGCCCACCTGGAGGAGGAGGAGGTCGTCCTTGTTGTTGTGGATGTTGCTGCCGGGGTGGGGGAACTGGGCGCGCACCCGGTACAGGCGTTTGTGGGGCTCCGGCTCCATGAGGGAGTGAGCGCCCAGGAGCACCTGGAAGACTCTGCCATCCCTGGAAGAGAGGCAGCGCGTGGGGCACGGGGGCTCTGCCCACCCCGTGGGGCACGCGGAGCTGGGGGTGTCACTGCACCCAGCCAGGGAAATGGGGTGACAGAGACCCCTCCGTGGGGTGCTGGGACCTCCTAGGGTGTCACCGGGGCCCCGATGCTGGGGTCGGGGCTCTGGAGAAGGATGTGGCCTGAGGCCATCAGCCCCCCCAGCACGGAGCAGCCCCTGTGCTGACCCCCCCCTCGCCCCCAGCACTCACGTCTCCTCGGTGCAGTGGGCAGCGCTCAGCACCCACTGCTCAGCGATGAGGAAGCCCCCGCAGACGTGCTGCCCGTCCAGCTGCAGCGAGGCCATGTAGGGCCTCAGGTGGGGCTTGGCCTCGTAGCCCCCCAGGATGCGTCCCCGGGGCTGCCCTGTCACACGGGAAAGAGAGAGGCCGGGTGAGGTGGGCATCGCCTGGGGAGGGTCACCCCAGTGGTCCCCCCGGCATCCCTGGACCCCTCCCCATAGCCCACTGCAGCCCTGGCTGCCAACAGAGGCAGGAATTGGGGGGCTGGGCAGGACCCCCCCCCTCTCTGTGCTGGGGATGTCACTGCCCCAACCTGTCCCCATCCCCTGGGGGGGTTTGCTCACCGTTCACCATGGCCCCCAGCAGCAGGAGCAGAGCGAGGACAAGGACGGGAGTGGGACTCAGCCCCATGGCTGCCGTGGAGCCCGGCGGTGCCTCTGCCCGGCTGTGGGGTCCGTGGGCTCTGTGGGGCCGACGCTGCTCGGCCGGGGCCGGGGCCGGGACTCGCTTTTATGTGCAGCTTTGGGGAGGCGGGGGGGGCAGGAAGGGGCAGCGCAGGGGAAGCCGGGGGGGTTTCCGCAGCGTAGGCCAAGTGTTTTTAAATATTCGGTTTATAAAAGGGGGTCAAAAGTTCCCGGCACAAAGAGGGCGGGCGGGAGGAAACAGCCCGTCGCAGCTGCCGGACCTGGCACCGGCCGCGGGGGATTTCTGCGCTGCTCCGTCCGAAGCCAAAACCGGATCCGGCTCTTGGCCCGTGGAAGGCTCCGGCACATGCGGCAGCGCCCCGGCCTGACCCCAGCCCCCCCCGAATGGGAACCCCCCCCGGCTGCAGGGGAACCGTCCCGGTGGGTGCCCCGGGGCCGCGGAGCTGAGCGTCCCCCCGGGGTTCGGGGGGGGTGAGGACGGCGGGGTCAGGGCCACCGGCACCGGGCGGGGGTCCCCGGGGGGAGACCCCTCCCCCGAGGGGAGCTCCGGTGAGGGCCGGGGGGCGGTGGCGGTGGCAGCCCCCGCTGCCTTTCTCCCCGGTGCCGCTGAGCGGAGCCACCGCCTCGGCTCCCGCCGGTCCCGCCGTGTCCCCGCGCTCCGGAGCCGCCCGTCGCCCCCGCCCGGGCCCCGACCCCA